ATTTCTACTGAGTCAGTTGCTTTGACTTCTATTTCATCGAATTCTGGAATAGTAAGCTTTTGTTGTTGGATTTCAGGCAATTTGGGTAAATGGTCAATAATATCCTGCATTTCATAAAGATACTGTTCATTTGTTTCATCCTGTGCGGTACAGTCTAAATCTCCTTGGAGAAGTTCCTGCTTTATCTTCTGGATTTCTGTTTCGAAAGTATATGAAGAAGGAATGAAGCTTTTCATCTCTACTAACATTGAAGTTGGGTTCATGACTAAAGAGTTTGGTGCTGTTGTTGCTAACATGTTCTTACAATAAAAATAAAAAAAATATTTTTTGGTGGGACTACCTTTATTTTTTATTTCGGGAAAACTCATGAGGTTAGAAAACATGTACGAAGAAGTCTTGACAAAACATTTACGATGAAATCATGACAAAACATTTACGATGAAGAAGTCTTGACAAAACATATACGAAGAAATTCATGAAAATTCATGACAAATTCATGAGGGTAGAAAAGAGGGTAGAAGACAGGTTAGATCTAACCATCTACCCTAAAATATATTTTTGTCTGAATTCAGCAACAAAATGGTTCATTTACTCACAATATTTTTGTACAAAACAACCCCAAGCTTTTAACTTCTTTTCTGCAGCTTCTAATGCTATCTTAGCGAGTTCATATTCTCTAAATTCTCTCTTTAAATCTTCTTGTTCCCATTGGTCTAGTTCGTATGGAGAATCTCTATAACCAGAACATATCTCACGTTCATGTTCTATTTGTTTTTCGCACATTTTTCTAACTTCTTCTTCAAACAAAGGTTTTGCATTCTCTACTGTATCTTCAAGTTCTTCTTCATCTAACTTCTCATGAACTTTCTTGTCTATGGAGTCCATAATATCTTTGACATAAAATACATACTTTACAGAGCACCATTCAGCAACAAAATGAACGAGGTCAGGATGTATGTAAATACCTTTGAATTCATTCATAACGCCCTTAGTAAGCTCATAAAATGCTTGTTTTGAGGTCGAGCCACTTTTGGCTCGACCGTATTCTTTCAACCAAAACTCAAGAATTTCCTCCATTTTAGCACTATTGAGAAATCTGTTTAAATGGTTTAACTTTCCTGCTTCTCTTGCCATCTTTGTTACATTTATATAACCATCCTTGTCTCTACGTAAGACTTCAATACCGTTGTAAGTGCCTTTTGTGAATGTTTCGCCATTAGATTTGTTCGTGAACGTTTTTGCTTCGACTGTCATTTCAGTACGTACAATAAAAATAAAAAATATTTTTGAGTGGTACGTCGGACATTCGTTTGTGGCTTAACCGTCGGACATTCGTTTGTGGCTTAACCGTCGGACATTGTCTTGAAACAGTACAAATATTGTCTTGAAACAGTACAAATATTGTCTTGAAACAGTACAAGACTTGTTCTGAAACAGTACAAATATTGTTCTGAAACAGTACAAATATTGTTCTGAAACAGTACAAGACTTGTTCTGAAACAGAAAATTTTTCTCACAAATTGAGAGCTTTTACGGGAAATTTGTTCTGAAAACGTTCAAGACTAGTTCTGAAAAAGTACAAGACTAGTTCTGAAAAAGTACAAGACTAGTTCTGAAAAAGTACAAGACTAGTTCTGAAACAGAACAAGACTAGTTCTGAAACAGAACAAGACTAGTTCTGAAACAGAACAATGGACAGCATCGAGCCATTAGATGAGGCAATTTACCTTATAGAGATAAATGAAGTTGTTAAGCAGTACTTGGGCAAGGACAAAGCCAACAAGTCCCTCGGCGTCTGGTTGTCTGGAAGAGGTGCGCTGAAAATCGAGATTTCGACTGGAATTCCAATTCAAATACCAGAAAACACTCCTGTAGACGACATAAAGGAGATGAAGAAAGAAGCTCTTCTCAAGTTCTTTGCAAAGCGCCCATGGATACAACTTCCAAACAGAGAGAGTCCAATTCCACGAATTATACAAATTCTCAGAGCACTGTTCCACTTCTCGGGTCAGCCGTTCTACATAACCTGTGAAGGCGACATCCAACCAGTTCAGTAAACATCTCATTTTAACTCACTTTTTTTCTATCTTAAGGAAATTCATGAAAATTCAACGGGTGAACTTTGTATAAAAAGCAACCCGCTGTTTTCCGCGGGTTGGTATATTCTTCACAAAATGCTTGTTTTGAGGTCGAGCCACTTTTGGCTCCACCTCTTTTTTCAACCAAAAACTCATTTTTGTCGAATTCAGCACAAAATTCATGAAAATTCAAGAGGGTAGAAAAGAGGGTAGAAGACAGGTTAGATCTAACCATCTACCCTAAAATATATTTTTCAATACTTTTTCAGCACTTCTCCGTAGTTGTATATGAAAGACAATTCGAGATAAAAGTCGTAGTACAATGGAACAATATGCTGCACACCGTTTGTTGTGAACCAAACTTGAAAGTCAGAGAAACTGTTACTCGGTGGTTCGGGATGAAATTTCTTCATCTGATATAGTCCTACCAGCATTTGTAAAGATATAGTCTAACGGTTTTGTATCTGCTACTTTTGTTCTTTGTTTTTCAACCTGAAGCATTTAATATATGTAAAAATATACTGTTTTAAAAATGTTTTAAAATGGTATGCCATATAGCTTCTTGAATTTGTTAAGAAGTATTCGAACGTATTTTCCATCTGTATCTCTAGCGTTTACATAAGCATAGCCATCCTTAGTAAAATATACTTGTAATTTTCTATAGTTTACGCCGGTATAAAAGTAGAAAGAGTCTTGTTCTTCGCTATAGTAGTAAAACTCAAACGTATGCTTACCATAGTCTGTAATTTCAATTGCTTCATCTTCTAGTTCGTCGACAAATTCGAATACTATATCTCCAAATTTGCCTCTGTTCTTATTGTTTTCAGAACAAGTGACCCAGCGTAAGTTTTCAAGTCTATTGTCGTTTCTTATATGGTTTATATGGTCTACAAAAGGTAAATTGTTAGGGTTCGGTATAAAATGAGTTGCAATGACAATATGTTTAAAATAGCATTTCCCACCAATCCTCATCCTAGCATATCCGTCATTTCCCTCCCATTCGCTTAAAACTCTTTTTGTCTTTTTGTTTCTGACTTCAAATGACTCACAACAGTGAATTTCATATTTCTCATCTAACAAACAAGTTTCCCAACGGTCTGTTCCAACAAACCCAGCGTACATTTCAAATAAAATAAAAAAAATATTTTTTTGAAAAATATACTGTTTTCCTTTTACTTAACATAGCCACCAGCTACCAAAAGTCTTTGACGCCAACCCATACCAGCTAATGAAGGTTGACTTGGTTTAGTTTGGAAACTAAACTTTGGTTTTGGTTTATCTTCAGTTTTTGGTTTTTCTTCTTCTATCGGTTTTTCGTCACTTTTCGGTTCATCTGTACTTACCTCACTTGCAGGTATGGTTGTGTCGTCAACATCTTCATAAATATCATATGCCATCTGTTTTTGTTTTCCTTTCAACTTTTTGTGTTTGTTGTAAAGTTTAGAATATTTCGACTCTAAGTCAATGAGATGTTCTATAATGAACTGTTTGTCAGTGAAGTAAACTTTTCCATCTGTTGTCTCGAAAACTCCTTCAGACTTCAATATTTTATTTGTGAGAGTCTGTTTCTTTTTTGAGATACTAGCCGTTCCATTTCTATGAAAAGTGACTTTGTAGTTAGGGTTTGTATTTCCAGACCTGGCACTTTCTATTATTGAATTTTTCTCTTCATCTGTAAGTTCTTTGACAGGTTTTGACAATGGTTCTGAACTTTTTGTTTGTGGTGTCAAATCTACCGTTTCAACTTCTTCGGTCATTTCATCTCAGTAAAAAATTTTAGTTTGGTTTGTTTTCAACTGGTTGTTTAGGTTTTTTAAGTCGGTCTAAAACTTCCTGAGGTATAGGAAGAACTTGACAAACACGTGGTTGTGTAACTGCTGGAAGCCGACAAATCCATCTTGAGCCCATTTGTCTCAATGCTGTATTGTTCATTTCATCTCAGTAAAAAAATTTACATTCCCCACGTTTGAGGCGGTTGCGGTTGGTTGTTGTTTACCCACTGTTGTGCATGGTTATATCCTCTGTTAAAGAATCTTTCACCTTGGTCCATATAGTGCCCTGCTTGGTTATAGTAGTCATTTGCTTTGTTATAGTAGTTTCCTGCTTGTCTTCCTACATTGTCCATCCATCCTTGAACTTTTCCTCTTGTTTCAGGATTTGGAATAAGATTTGCTGCATCTCGTGCTACATCCCAACCTTTCTGTACAGTTTGTATAATAGGCTGTGCTTTCTCTTTCAGTATACCTAAAGTACTCAAAATCTTCCTTCCAATTCCAAATGCACCTCTGGCTAGTGTTCCCACTGCGGGCAAAAATCTGGATGCAACTCCTGCTAATGCGCCAAATAAACCCATTTCTTATGGGTTAAAAAATGACGAATCCAAACAAGGACCCCTATGTTTCTAAAGCGACAAAGAAAGCACTCATGATAAAAATCTTTAGTTCAACACCAAATGCTTGGTTTATGGATATCTTGGAAAACATTCCGAGGTATAGAGAAGATGGACCTCCATACTGGCTAATATTTGTCGGTCAAAACACAAGATACTGTGAAGCCATACCATTACAGTCCAAAGCTATTTTAGATATCTTAGCAGCTTTGACAATATTCGTTGACAAATACCATCCAACAAAACTGACATCTGACTGTGAAAGTTCTTTCAAATCAGACGATATTAAAAACTATCTGCGTTCAAAAAATGTAAACCAATATTTCATTGTCGACCAAAACCATTCTGCTCTTGGTGTCATTGACGGTTGTATAAAAATGTTAAGAGACTTAAACCCACCACAAGGTGGTGAAGCAAATGAAATGTCATATGACGACAAATATAGACACTTCTCCATGGCAAAGATGAGACAAGTTTTAAATATTTACAATAGCCGTAAACAAAAAGGTTTGGGAAACCACTCCCCCGAAGAAATGAAAAACAACCCTGACTTAGAGAAAGACTATATATTTAATAATTTAGTCAAAAGAGACAAACAAGAAAGAATGCCGGGCTTCAAACTTCAGAAAGGTGACAAAGTAAAAATAGAAATACCTAAACGCGACCCATATGAAAATACTATTGACTATGACAACAATGGGAACTCGACAGGTACTCACATTCGTGTTCGTAAAAATAGAAGAAAGTATACAAGAGAATATTATGAAGTTTTAGGCAAACATGGCAAAATGTACAGACTGCAAGCAGAAGATAAAACTACTATTGTCAGACCTCGTTTCAAACTTGTCAAAGTTCAAGGTGGTATACTTTCAAAGACAGTTCCTAACAAATATAAGACAACTCCTGACGAATATGCTAAAGAAGTTGAAAATGACGACTAAGCAATTCTATACCATGCGTAAACTGTCATGTAAGGTGGCATGTAGTCTTTACTTTGTCCCGTTGTTTGCGTATATCCTGTAACGCGATGTGTATGGTCTCCTTCTCCCTGAGTGTCATCCCAGTAACAATTTATAGCAAACTTAACGTTGTCTTTAACATCATATCCTTTACCTTTTGTCATTCCTGACCAATCCCAATATCTATGCTTATGCCAACCTGCTTGAGATGTACTTAAATCTATGTAGTGACTGTGTGCAGGTAAATTTTCACCTGAAATCGTTTTACTTCCACCTGTTTCCTTTGAAGAGTTTGCACAATACAAAAACCTGTCGACTATTTGAGTCCAAGTTCCAAAACCAAGTACTACTTCTGGTCTGGTAGAGTTCATTGACGTATAAATAGAACCTATAGGATATACTGTTTGAAGTATTTCTGTCTTTAATGTTTGAAGCTCTGTTTTGTCTGCTTTTTTATATAACTTTTCTTCAAGTTCATTTACGTCAGAGATGCTATGTCTATGATATTTTTGTGGGTATGTTCCTTCTGTCCATGTGAAAATATACTCTTTTGTTGCATCTACATATCCTTTTATCCATGTCGAGTCTGCTTTTGTATTCCTTAACTCTGTAACACCTTTCTCAAGCTCTTTCAACTGTTGTCCATCTTCCATTAAACCTCTGGTATGACTTGAAACCGTTTGTGCCAACATATCTACAGTTTCTTTGTCGGCTTTAAGGTCTAAACACCCTGAAACCCATCCTGTATCAGCTTTCGTTTTTAAAATCTTCGATGTCCGTTCATTATACCATTCAACCCTTTCTTTAATTTCATTGTCTTTTTCATCCACATATTCCTTATCTGCCTTCTTCACTAACGCACTAGCCACGCATGCTAACTCATCGTTAACATATGTTTTGTCAGCTTTCTTTTCAACATCCTCTTTTGTTGCATATGTTGCATCTGCTCTGTCATGTTCTTCTTGAACTTTTTCAATGACATACTCTTTGTCAGCTTTGTTGTCAACATCTGCTTTCAAAAGAAGTTCATCTATAGGTTTCTCGTTTAAAGTTCCTTTTGTTGGATTTATACAAACAGTATGGTTCTTACTGTCTTGAAACAGAAACTCGTCTGTCATTGGGTTTAATGTCAGTTTTAAGTTTCCTTCTTTCAATGACTCAGATATCTTAGAATAGTTTGAAAAGTTTGTTGTGTTCTTATTTAGAGCTTGCAAAATGAGTTGTCGGTTGTGTTGTATTTCTCTCATAGACGCTGTTTCTTTCGACATTTTTATTCTAGATAAAATATGCTTTCAATAGAAAAAGAAAATTCAAGAGTTGCTACAACTAAACCATTAGATGAACTTTTTACTAATGTCGGTCAAAAGTTTGAGACAGAGACCGTAAAGCATGAAGGCTATCGTTTTGACTACCCCTTAAGATGGTTAAGAGACCCATCCGTCACAAAAGCTATTGGCTTTCGTAGAATGAAGTTCATTTCAGAAGCCATACATGGTTTCCCATTTACGGTCGCTTTTGAAGTTCGATACTATAACAAAGAAAAACGTACGTATGAGAAATTTGAACAGGGAAAACTTTTACAAGTTAGTTTGCTTGTAAACTTAGAAACAACTCTTCAAGCTTTTCAAGAAAAAATAAACGATATCTATCTCGAATATGCAAAACAGTACAACATTGACGAAGGAGAGTACCATCTCGATATTATATATGACAGGAAAAATGCAACTGTTAAAATCAATAGAATAGAAGACCTTGGAGAAGACGTTTATATTTCTACAAAATATAACAACTTGGCATGGTATAGATTTTTGAGGATGTTAAATCAGCCTGCAGAATATCCAGTACACCCGAACTTTTATGAAGTCGAAAACCCTAATGGAACATATGAAAATGTTTTCGACTCAGATGCTATTATAGTTCATGCTTCATTTTCTGGTGCACAAAACTCTTTTTTATGCTTGGCAAATGACTTTTACGAAAAACCTACAAAGCTATACGAACCACCAAGTGGAAGTATTTCAGACTTTCAAGTATGGTTTACTACAGATGGAAGAAAGAGAATAATTCCATTATACCACGCGTTTTACTTAGAACTTAGTTTCATATACAACTACTATCGAACGGTAAAAATATGATTTTTTAATACGGTTGAGGTGTTGGATTTGGTTGCCAACTAGACTGTGGTGCAGGTTCAGGCTGTTGTATAACAGGAGCTTGTTCTTCTGGTTCAGGGTCTTTAGGTATAATACCAACGAACTGACCTACTCTTTTACCAATATTTTTGACTCCGTTCCAAATTCCTCTTCCTACGGTTTTTATTCCATTCCACATACCTCTTCCAACATTTCGAAAGAAGTTTCCAATACTACTGAAGAAACCCATTTTACTATATGTAAAAATCTAATGTCCACCTAGTCTCTTACGTTTCCTGTTGAGTTCCATAGCATTCTTTAACTGGAGCTCATACATTCTATTTCTCCTCTGGTAGAAAACATACTCTGGGTCAACTCCTGTGTTCGCGTCATCTGCATAGAGTTGTTTATATCCCACTTCGGGGTTTGTATAAAACTCTTTCCATCTCATATTTGCATACCATGGTGGCAAACCTAACGCAGCGTCATTTGACATGGCAGTTTGCATTTGTACATCTGTTGGCACTTGACCATAGTTTGCCATTGCAGTTTGTATTCTAACTTCATTTGGAATATTCTCTGGGTTTGTTGTCCAGGTTGCTGTGCATTCGCTAAGTTCTGTGCGTCCATTTAATATTAGATAAAATATTCTTACGAGTACATATGCTGAACATTTGCAGGCATTGGTTCATCTTCATATTCTCTATATCTTTCTGCCACGTCAAATAAGTAAATGACACAATGGAAAAAACCTAAAACAAGTAGTCCTATTTCAAACCACATTTACTTACTAGTAAAATTTCTTTGTTATGACTTCTTCGTAAAGACTTTGTTAAGACTTCTTCGTAAATGAGTGTAAATGACCCAAAAATATATTTTAGGGTAGAAGGGTATATCTAACCTCTTTTCTAACCTCTTTTCTACCCTCTTGAATTTTCATGAATTTCTTCGTAAAGACTTTGTTAAGACTTCTTCGTAAAGACTTTGTTAAGACTTCTTCGTAAAGACTTTGTTAAGACTTCTTCGTAAATATTTTGTTGAGATTTCATCGTAAAGACTTTGTTGAGATTTCTTCGTAAATGACCCTAGTAGTATATTTTTGGTGTAAATTTCATGAAAATTCAAGAGGGTAGAAAAGAGGGTAGAAAAGAGGTTAGATATACCCTTCTACCCTAAAATATATTTTTGGTGTAAATTTCATGAAAATTCAAGAGGGTAGAAAAGAGGTTAGAAAAGAGGTTAGATATACCCTTCTACCCTAAAACCAACAATCCGATTTCAAACCACATTTACTTACTAGTAAAATTTCTTTGTTATGACACTTTTTCCGGTTTATAGGACCTCTCTCATATTCTATCTTGTCATATATAAACTCATAGTCATGTATGTCCTCTAACCATCTCATAACGGTTTCCAAACCACTTTTATCGGATGTAAAGTAAAAGCATGGATGGTTATGTAAAACGTCTAAAGTTTCTAAAGAGTCTCTCAAAGTCCAGTCTACTTGGTATTGAAAATCGTATGTGTTATAGAACGGTGGGTCTACTATAAAGAAAACATTTTCCTTGTTTTTATATTTTTCATACAACTCTGTCCAACGACATCTCACAAACTCTATACCCTCAGTATATTTTTCTATGTTCTCTTTGAAAACCTTTGTATAGTTAAGATATAAAACTTTTGACATAAGTGTTTCAATGTCATGAACTCTTATAGAACCACTATACAATAGTCTAGAGAGATTACTATCCCAGTCAATATACTCTGCTTTTTTCAAAACCTCTCTGACAGTATTTTCTTATCTAATGGTATACGTTCCATCTTGCCTATAGGTATCTTTTCTTTCAACTCACTCAATATTTTGTTTGTGTCTGGTATATGTTTGAGACGGTTCATATAGTTGTCGAAGTCATTGCATATAATCTTTGAGTTTGGGAATACGGTATGGCACAAATGAGATATATAGAAACTTCCACCGAACAAATCTACAAATGTTAGACCATTCGGTAGTTTCTTAAGTTCTCTCAATAGAATATCTTTACATCTACTCTTATTTCCAAAGAAGGGTAACGGTGGTTTTGTAAAATTCATTTTATATACAATAAAAATGTTTTTTTCCTGAAAAGTGACAGAAAAGTGACAAAACATGAAAACTACTCGGTTAAGGTCATATTTTCAGTAAGGACATATGGGGTAGAAAAGAGGTTAGAAAAGAGGTTAGATATACCCTTCTACCCTAAAATATATTTTTGTCGAATTCTGTATAAAATTCTGAGTAAAACGACAGATGTTTATATGACACTTTCTCCGGTTTATAGGACCTCTCTCATATTCTATCTTGTCATATCAAAACTCATAGTCATGTATGTCCTCTAAGACTTCATTTATACTAAACATCTTCAGGGCTAGAAGGCACGAAGTGCCTGGAAGCCCCACTTCCTTTTTTTTTTTTTTTTTTTTTTTTTTTTTTTTTTTTTTTTTTAAACTCTATAATTTTTAATTCGAAGATGAGATAATGAAGTTATTTAAAAAATTCCATATATCTACTTATTAGACTGATTACAAATGTTAGCAATATTTATATTAAGGGTGCACCCGTATGTACGTTTATTTGAGAGGAGGATGATTACCCTCTCAATTTTGAGGGATTCGTTAGTTTATTTTCTCGATGAATATGCAATAAAATTTGATTTTTACCTTATCAATATACTTCTAGGGCTGTACAAGATTTAAAAAAACATTGCCGGGTTACCGTAGAGGCCTAAAAAAATCGCGCCTCGGCGGCAAGCCGCCTCGGCATTAAGAATGCGCATCTAAATTTTTATATGTCCTTCTTTCTTTTATTTTTCCCTTCCCTTTCTTTTCTTTTTCTTTTTTTTCCCTCCTCTTGCTCTCATTTACCTTTTTTTTCCTTTTCTCATCATTTTTCAAAATTTAAAATTTTTATCAAAAATCTTGCCTATAAAAGCAGACTATGGAACCTTTTAATGCCTCTTAATCAATATTATACAGCATAAAGCATATTAAATGAAAGTAATTACGTATAAATTTATTTTATTATCTTATTTATTAATTCTTTAGCATGTATTGTTTAATATTAACTTTTCTGTACATTAAATATGATATCTCCAAAGTATGAATGCCTTGTAACGAAACGAAAACTTAATTTTATGTTGAATATTTGTCACAAACATTAGATTATTAAAATATATGTTGGATATCCTTAGTATGAGACTTCATGACTCTTGTAGTCTAACGTGAGCTTTGGATTGCAAGCTCTGTGGTTAACGAACATAAATTAATTGTAAAGTTTTCAAAATTTTTCATCGTTTCTATCAGCATCTATTTTTCCTTTAAAATAATATATTTGTATGAATACAATATTTAGTAATTTTTTTATTTCCCATAATTTCATTCAAAATTTCAGAAAAAATTAATTTCTATTCAATATTATTTCAGCTTCAAAACACTTCATTCTTATAGATGTTGATTCACTAAAGTGTGATACTCAATGTCTTATTTCAATGAAAATTGTTCTGCAAATTTATTTCACTTTTGACCTCACTTTTTCCGTAATTCAATTTTTTACTTTTAATATTTTAGATCTTCATAATATCATTTGAAAAATTAACCATATAAAAAAATCAAGTTAACAATTCACTTTTTCCGTAATTCAAAAATCAAAATATAAATAATATATCTTTTTATCAAATATTATTATTATATTCTATGAAAAATGAGGTCCGGAAAATTTTGCGGATTCCCGTAACTCAATTTTACGGAAAAAGTGCAGTAAACTATTCAAAATACGGAAAAATTGGTGTAAAACTAATGATTTTACGGTAAAATCACGGAAAGTCCGGAAGAATATATTGCCTATATGAAATTATACAAAAATGAATTTTAAAGATTGTTCTTGTATTATAATGCTATTCGCAGATTTATTAGTTGAAGAAAATTACCAAATTTTGCCGATTACAAAAAATGATTTACAAAGCATATTTTTATAAGGCTTTAAAAATCTTTAAAATGTGACCGGTGACGGAAATCCATGGTAACCAACCGCGGTTCCCGTTTGGAATGCCATATATACTTCATATAATATACACATGTTC